ACTCAATGGGCGTCAACTCATCGGTGTATGTCTTGACGCGGATCCGCGAGTTATACCGAAGCGATAGTAAGTTGTAAACGATTTCAAACCTATACTGACGAGTGGGCACATCCACGCCGCAGATGTCGGTCAGGTTTGTGAACTGCGACGAGTGGTTATCTTTGAGGAAGTGAATCACTGGAACCACTCCTTCGGGAGCGATCAGGACCTCGAGTTCGTCGCAATGTGTTAATTGGATTTTCTGCACAAACTTTGGCATACATTCCGCTAAATAGACCCCGAATTCAGTCAACTGTTTCCGTTTCACCGGATCCTGAGGTTTGATCGTTGGCTTCACTTCTGGAGGAGGCGTTGCGGCTGTCGTTTGGAGTCGTGTCTGAGTTGCCAACGAAGGGATCAGTTGTCGAGTGATTGTAGACCTCATGAGATGAAGAGGTTTCTGAAGTAACCATCGAATCGATGCCATAGTTATGCCAATCGGTCCTCAATTCACTCACTGTTTGTTATGTTTGCCAATCACTCAATCAATTACGGCTTCATTACCAGTATTTTCAATATTTTTAGTCAATTATAGTTAACTTATTATTGTATTTAAGTCATTGAATCACTTCTAATACATCTATATATTTGTCAAATATATTGAATCATACAAAATATGATTAAATAAATTAATTATAATGAAAAACCTTATATTTGGACGTTATTTGCAAAATAAGCCATATTTTGGTGAATACTGTTTAGATATAATAAGTTGAGACCGCATAAGGAGTGGCTTACTATAAGGTTTACCTATAAACCAATCACGTGTTCACTATGAAAGGGTGGTCCTATTATGTCTCAACTCATTCACACATCAATATAAGATAAAACATTGAATACAATTCATAGATAACAGGCCTAGGGGTGTGAATGAAATAAATGTTATATTTGCGTGAAATGAATGCAAACTACAGGCAAAGGGCACTAAAAATACACCCAATATAACGTGATATCCACAAAAAGGTCATAAATTGTGTGCAAAACCATTGCTTTTGATTAGTTGTGAATTTGCGGACAATTTGCTGACAATTTGCGGACAATTGATCGGAAATGTTGTCAAATATAATCAAATTAAACCTAAATTTGGGTCAAATATCGCGAAACAGCGTCCGGTTGATGGCGTCCACCCAAACGGCTTCAGATCCCATTCAGAAGCTATTTGTGGACAAAATCCGTGAATACAACCAGAAGTCGAAGGGAAGCGCCGACGGGTTGGTCGACGCCAACGAACGGGTCATCAAAGGGCTCAACGAAGAGATGCAAAGAGTGGCCCGAAGTTNGGGGCAGACAATGAGGAAGTGGTGGCAAGACTTACCGGTGCACTGAAAGACGACATCCTCGTGCGTGAAGTGGTAGAGCGCGGACGCGGCTATTATGGAGTAAGAGAAGGCCAGAGACCCGATGTCGAGGATGCAGAGGTCGACCAGATGTGCGATTCGGGCGAAAAGATTTGACTCGTATTTGGGGATAAGGAAGGCGTTGCCGTCGCGCCGAAGAAGTGAATTCTCTTTGTCGAGAGAGGCGTAGAGTTGCATATAAACGGTGAGCCAATTGTTGGCAGTCATGGGACACAACTCCCAGTTGAGGGCCTTAAGAACGATGAGCTCTTTGGTGGTGATCTCAGGCTCTTCGCAGGCGCCGTCCGTCACGTACGCGAATTCACTCATTTTCGGCGGATATATCTCCTCGATCTTGGCGGCGATGAACAGACACGTTATGCCCAACAGTTGGAGCTGTTGTTTGGGCACATCTGACTGGAAGGACAGGTAGCGGTCGATGAAGTCTATGCACAGGTAGTATGTGTCCCGATTCAGACGGTATACTTCGCACACTTCGCTCAACCAATCCATAAGAATGGATCGCATTCTTGACTGAAGACTGGGGTGTCTGTGAAGCATGAGAGCGTTCCGCTGATACACCTCATCCTTATGGACCATCAGATCCCATACCTCTCCGCCATCCGCCCAATTCAGGTGAGGCAGAGGTGACCGACGGGTCGTCGTGTGACGGGAGTGGGGGTTAGGGGTCAGCAGATCACTGGTCAAGGCGGACGGCAAGGACAGGGATCTGCTCATTATGTCGGAGACAATAGTTCACAGACTGTACGACACTATGGGTTTGAAAGACACAAAGAAATGCTTAGAAAGGCTTCACATGGACTGCACTTCAATGTGATTTCAATGGGATCTGGGCTTCAGATAATTGATTACATATAAGAGTCACATAAAAGACATACAATTTCGTGAAATATGACTACAATTAAAACTAATTGAATGAATAGTTTGGAGGAAATGTGAGACAAAGTGGTGGTGAAAGTGAGTGTAGAAGCGATGCGTTCACTACCGGAGCGAAGCATTCAATAGTGAGTCTCTCTATGAGAAGGGCTGAGCACTGGAGCAGTGAAGCGCTGGCATGAACACTGCCATAGGCTTTGAGCGCCAATACATTCCCGCTCTCATCCCATACCCATACACCTCGCATACCACTGCCTATCGCACCACTAATTACCCATTATTTCTATCATTATCACCATTATCTCCAAAACAATTCACTTTCTATTAATTACTTCTTATTTATCTATCATTTAATTGAGCCCTCATTGCCACAAACAATTGTCTAATCAATTAAAACCTGTAATCAATGCACGCCTTCACTGCAGGCAATGAGAAAAATAAGCATTTTTTCACATCTGTATTGCCACCACTAAATGGCAACTCATTTTAGATTACACTTTATATTCATTTTATACATTATATAATGAATTAAAAATAATCAAAATCACACCAAAATACTCACCAAATGTTTGTTCAATTAATTATGGAAACTATGGCTTCAAATGTTTTATTGTTTGCCACACATTAGCGTGCATTTGCGGCAATCAATCAATAAATAGCTCAATAATAGTCAACTGATTGCTGTTAAACACATCATTTAGTAATCATTTGTCGCACAATATGTGAGACCCGTTGCCAATCACACCGAATATCAACTCATTTACCACTTTATGTCCAATGAGTTGACAAGCGATCAGCTGTTGTGCACAACACTTATTGTGAGTCCACCGCTCATCACCAGCCAATCACAGCACACATTTGGCGCACACTCTCTCTCACACACACTCTCACATCAATGCAGTCACCAATTGATCCGCAGATCATATCTTAAGATTGCATGCATTGACCAATTCATCCAAACTCCTTACCACCAATCAATTGATAGACTAATTAATACATCCAATTCAATACAAAGTAACCATCATTTACACTAAAGGTCCTACATGTCCTTGTTCAGTACAGTATATTCCAAGATTCTTGAGTCAACAAAATACACAAATCTCTCTCTCATTATGAATTTAAATTGAAAAATAAATTGTGGAGATTAATAAATTATGATTAACAATTTGCATCTATTAAACTACAAATAAGCTATTAAACAGTTATTAAACCCACAAACATTATACTGTACGGTATTAAACATTACACTTATGAACTAAATTAACTGTACTTTACTGGCAATACAGAGTAACTGTAAGTTAGAGTTAATTGGCTTTATATTGAATTGAAAATAAATGAACAAAATATAAATTAATTGTAAAATAAAACTACTTATTATTAATTTAAGTGATAAACAATTTATTTAATAATTAATTTCTAGTATTAATCGATAGTAAACTAAAACGACAAAAGTGTTGTCAAATGATCTCTCATTTTCATGAAACATATAATCAATTGTTAAACCAATAGATGAGAGAAATTGAAACAAAAAATCTAAACAATAATCGTTAGCAGTGTTGACATTATCGGCGACTAATCCTTAGACATATTGATCGGATCTAATTTGACTTCTGCGTCGAACTTGAGGTTAAGAGATCCCAAAGACTTCTCGTCTTTGATGCCATAACTTCGGGCCACTCTTTGCATCTCTTCGTTGAGCCCTTTGATGACCCGTTCGTTGGCGTCGACCAACCCGTCGGCGC